ATGACCGAAAACTTTCGTTTTGGCCACTGTCTTGAAAGTTTTGTTTGACAAAGGTTTAAAAACCAAGGGTCGGTTATTTCAACGAAGTCTAACTTAGACCGCGGTTTAAGAAATCATTGGACCTCTTTCTTAGAGGGTTATTTTAAGAAAATAAGTGCCTTTCCAGTCTACACTATATGCTTTGTTGAAATTGTACTCGATAAACGGTGTTAAAATAAAAGCATTGGGCAAACTGGAAATAGCTTAGAACGCGGTTTTGTTAAACACGGTCTAAACTCTGTTTAAATAACTGGCCCTAACTGTTCAAAACAATCAAAGTATCAGTGCTTCCAAATCTTGGCAATCCGATAAGAAAATTCTTAAGAAATGTACATTTTAAGCAATCCCTTCGTTTACAACATCGGGCGCCAATTTGAAATTCATTGAAGCAAGACGTGACGTCATACTGGCACGAGGATCCCTTGGAGATGCCCCCTACCGCCTTATGTCGACTTTTGTCCATAGAATGCATTAGCGTATTACTAGTAAATGTTTTTGAGTAATGGGATTAACATAATCGTTTCAGTAAATCAAAGAGCGCAAAATAAGGTCCCGTCCACGCTGACATTATTCGACGCGTTTAGGCCTTCCGTCCACACTAATACGCTGAGCGTTTGCATGGAAAACGCATCGATTTGAAGACGTTCTTGAAAGTGGATCAAAACAAAAACGCATACATATCGTATTAGTCGAAAACGCATCAAAATGAAAACGACGACCGAAAATATTGCAGACGCATGTGTTTGTAGCATGCGCATACAGTTCAACTTACGTCACAACGTGCAATTCTATCGTTTTCGAACGTTTTAGTGTGGACACTAAAAAACGCATCAAAACGGTAGGGTGGACGGGAATCGATGGCGCGATGCGTTTTCGATGACAACGAAATCGCATTAGTGTGGGCAAGGCCTGAGAGCAGTGCAGCTGGTTCAGTAATAACATGAACGGTTCAGGGGTCCCACGGCATATCAAGTTCCTTTCACAGCTTCAGCGGTGAAGAGCTGAACGAAGGCCGCAAGTAAGAAGCGAGATAACGGTAGACAGATATCATAATAATATAAATTTAGCACAATCTTTCTTACATACATACCATTCTTCACCCTCTGTAAAAAAATAATAAAAAAACAAGAAACGAAAACAGTCAAATAGTGTTAAAGCTTGAGTTGGTTTGCTAATTTAGCATTTTTCTGGAGAGAGCGTGCTCCATGTAATATATCAAGCACGAAACGCAGTGTTTAATACCAGATGAAACACTGAGAAGAGAGTTGAAAATACGACGCGCAGCGGAGTATTTTTGATGAACTTCGAGGTGTTTCATCTGGTTATGAAACACTGTGTCGATTGCTTGATATTACTTCTCTTAGAAGGAGAAATTAATGATGCAAAAATGAGCAGTTTTTCATTTGAATTCCGAACACTCATTAAACATTAATTTCCTTTGTATTTTCTTTATGAATTATTCATGAGTTTGAGAAGGGAAGATAAACACGTGTCATCTTGTTAAAATATTGACAATCTTGAACAAAACTTCAAGAATGAAATTTCTACAAGAAGAAGTTGCTGAGACGTACTAAACCAATATATAAATTTTTTGGATCAGACGAGCTTCAAATTCTGCATTGAATGAACATGGTATACCACATCCATGCCATTCCCTCTAATTTCTGAGTAAATCAAACCTTACAGCGTTTGAAGTCAAAAGTCAGTAAAACCGCTTTCAATTGCAACTTTTAAATCAACACAATCGACAAAATTTAAAAGAGCCTTTCTATAAAAGATCTTCATGTTGACTTCTGGCCGAGAAACATAATTCTTCCATGGACTTCTTTGAACATAGGTACGTTTAACGTGCAAGAACTATTTTAAATGCTTCAGGGTAACCGTGCCAAGAATCTACCCATCCAAAATACAAAGTGTTTTTCGTGCGAAATTGGGTATTGCTGTGCATGAATGAAAACGCGAAACGCTGGGCAAATGAATGAATACAATGAATATCAACTCACCAAACGTTGCTATGAATGAAGACTCGACGGTTTTTTCGAAGTTTCTTATGAAAATGTGGCTAATCGAATACCGAATAGCTAAGAAATATCACGATTTTTATCATTGTGGCTGGGTAGATGGTTGCATCATCATAATTCACGAGGTTTTCACGTGCGATTCTACTTAATCAAACAATCTCTAACTCTGACCTCTAATGTTTTCGCAAGTGAACTGAAAGTGTTGGACTTTGCCCCTTTCGTGGTTCGTACGTGAGGAAATACGAGTTATCACACAGTAATCTAGTAAGCAGGATTTAAAAGAAATCACCTCCTTTTCAAACATCTGCAGTAAAATTATGCGTCATTCAATGTTGAGATTGATACACTAACATCATCTACTTCCGACAGAATTGCCGAAACATTGATTTCTACTCATCTCATGTTATTCCACTTAATGAAACAATCTCTAATTATTTTGTCAACCGGCTTCTTCCAAGTTTATTCGCTAACGCTATTGTTTCAACAAAAGTTACGCATCTTTACTAGGCCACTTGTTAAATTAAATACGTTTTAATTACTTTTATGATTGTTAAACAGCAAGCACGGCATGTATGATGACAGGGGCATCCAACGACTGTTTTCTGTAAAATATCTGTTCGGAGAAGCAGATACTGCCTTTTCGATTGCTTGAATACGGCTAAAAATTTCTAGATGACCATTCCATTCATCTACGTACAATTTTCGAAGCTTATCTGATAAATTCCCTACGATTTTCTGAAGTTAAATTTTTCACATTTCACTCCCCAAGTAAGGCTATAGGAAAATTTTCGGATTAAAAAACTTGATGGAGAGAGGAATCAAAAAAAATTTTCATTTTCGTAATACTTTAAATTGCATCTAAAATTATCGGGAAAATAATACTGAAGCCCTTGTAATTTCGAAAAAACTCAAGTTCGCCTAGGATGACCGAACAGATACAAATTTTATAGCGCCGCCTAGAATGCATTTCCAGAGCTGTAAAAGTACTCTAGATAGCCCAAAAAGTGTTTCCAGTGTAGTTAGGAGAAAACCTGTGATGAGGTTGCACTTAATTTGCCGGAACGTAAAAGGTCTGTTGAACTTTGTACGCGAGAGAATAAAGCATGTTTACGGAAAAAATTTACTGGGTACAGCTTTAAAAAAATAAGCACTCTTTTAAATTAATATCTAAATATCAATTATTATCGTCTCATTTGTATACCTTTGAAAAGTAAACCAACGTTTTCGTTTTTGTCTTCCGTCGATCCCCCTAACGGACCCCTCAGGATACAAAGGTTTACTTCAGAGATTTCAAAAGGGAAATAATAGTATACGCCAACCAAATGCAGGTTTGGACATATCAGTCACTATCTAAAAATACACTTGATGTTTTTTTTTAGCGTTAACACCTATGTCTGCTGACGAAAACAAGGACACCATTTATTTATCGTTCGTGTTTCATTTTTTGACGAACTTTTCAAAGAAGTTTATGGAAAAATTATGAGCGAAACTCATTATTTTTCCAAAACTGGAAGTCTCATATATTGTCTCCCTTAACGTGGCCAAAACCTATGCAAATTTATTGAAAGCCGTATTAAGAAAGAGGTTCAACTCCCACGAGGTTGGTTTGGGGTAGAAACATGGCCGCCATTTTATTGTTTTGAGATACTAATATGGTGGACGTGACGTCATGTAAAGACGGTCTATGGAGCTTGTTAATAGACCTTTTTAGTTCGTACGTTTTGTTTTCCCAACTCGGACCACGTTATGTTCTCCTTTTATCTATTTGTAACTTTTTTAATATGCATACATATGCACGTGGATGCACGTACATAGGACGATATTTTAAAGAAACAGTTCTCTGGGGTACCATCATGTGATCTAAAAATGGGAAAATAAAGCACACAAGCTAAACAGCACTATTAAGACATGCAGTCTGGGCCAAGAGCAGAACCTCACGCGCTAGTCTGCCGCGAACCGCTCCTCTCGCGATTCCCAAACGGAGATGAAGTATGGTTTTTGTTACACAAACTTGTAAAACAATAGTAGAGTGAACAGTAGCCAGAGAGAATAATATTTTTAAAAAATTGTACAAGTGTACCATTTGTTTTTTATTCATCTCTGTCTGTTGGCCGGGATATGTGAATTTCACTTAAGTTATTTTTAATATAGGTAATAGAATGGTCAGTAGTGATATTTGGCATAAATACCGCAAGTGATATTTCGAAATTGCTATACGTAATTTGACGAGTGAAATTTGAGACAATTTTGAAATATCACGAGTGGTATTTATGCCAAATATCACGACAAATCATGCTATTATTTGTTTATACTACTACCCGCAAGAGTTTTTGTAATTTTCACATGTAGGTTTTTCAAATTAAGCTGAAATACTAGAGCTCTGAGCCTATCAAATTGCAGAAATTTCTCATGTAATAGTTTAAGAGGTAGTCATTAAATGGAAGTCTAATTCCTGGGACCTGCGCACATTTTAATCGATTGTTTGAAACGTCATCTGGTCCACGCGCGACTCCCTCAAAGCAAACAATGTAGAATATTGTAATGACGACACACCAAAAGAGCATAAAGTTCCATTATTCTCTCTTGCAACATTGAATAACTGTTTGCGGACCTGTCCGGAAACCAACTTCCGATTAATTTCAAAATTTAATTGGTCTAAAAATAACTTTGGTGAATTCACATATCCCAAGGGCTAGACTGGGCGCTTCCCTATCTTTTCCATTATTCTCTCTTGATCGCTTTACACTACCTTCTAGGGACTCATGAGCGACGTTGGATTGTAGACTGACCATCTGCAACTTAAGACTTTGAAACTTTCTCTTTTGTCTCCGACGACTGCGCTGACTCCAGCAAAGAACGATAATGAGAAAAATAACGAGTAAGAGAACACCACCTCCTACGCCAAACCAAACGGAAATTGGGATGTCTTTGGACGGCACGTCGTTGGACGGCAGTGAAAAGTACTCCAACATACCAACGGTGAAATGTAAGTTTCCGACAACAACCTGGGAAAACAAAAAAGTCATTTATGATATGACCAACTGAACGTAAGTCTGTTCGAATGCCTTTTAAATTAGCTGAAACAGTTGGTTTTATTCCGTGGATTTTTAGAAATGTTTATTACTAATAAGATCGTGGTATAATTTTGTTGGTTATTATTATTATTGTTGTTATTCTGTGAAAGGTTTGAACCCAGGAGTCATTTCAAAAGTAGGTTGAGTTTGATCGTCCGGGTGAACGTAGTCCTGAATAGGACTGTTGTTGTTGACAGTGACTGACGTTTCGACAACCTGTGCGGTAGTCATCTTCAGAGTGAAAGTGTTGTTATTATTATTATTATTATTATAATTATTATTATATAATTATCGTTACTATTATTATTATTATTATTATTATTATTATTATTATTATTATTATTATTATTATCATTATCATTATCATCATCGTCATCATCATTTATTAGCAATTCGCTATAAGACAAAACAATCCAACCTTAACAGCATATAGTCCATTAGGAGGCTTTGAGCTGTGACTTTCCTCAGTGGGCGCCAAACAAACAAGCTGCTCCTAAAACAAGACCACTACACAGTTTACTGGAAGATATTTTTCATTGTAACAAAGCATTTCTCAATTAACCAACTCAGCCGTGTTGTATGAGATGACCATATACTATCATAGGTGACAAATTACTCCTTAATTTTCGCCCGAAATTTCAGCGTTAATTTAAAATTTCACACGTTACATTACAAAATTGACATGGCAACGTTTAGTACGTCTCAGTGCCAAGATGGCGTTAAGGTTTAAAAATGTTATGAATGAAGCTGTCAGGACATTAAAAGACGCTTAGAAAACCTAAACACATGAAAGAGCACATCAAGAAAGATTCTATGAGGCCTTTGGTTGAAAAATTCTGAAAATTCTGAACTTAAGCTCAATTTAAGCTCTAAACTTTTATGTGCGTAGCAGTGGCGTGGAGCTCTCGATCGATTCGATAAACCTCGGTAAACGTGTCAAAACCCCAAGATTGTAAGGTTAATTTGTCACCCATTATATTAATAGGTAATCAAATGGCATACTCGCGAAATTAGGAAATAATTTCACATGAGTTTTGTCCAAAATCTAATAATTTGGACAAAACGCGCGTGAAAAAATTCCCTAATTTCACCCGTCACCATTTGATGACATACGTACCTTATCCACACCGGTAATCTTGCACGGCAGTTCTCCGACGGTTACAAACATCTGTGTTTTCAATGCGTTTTCTAAATTTCTGCCCTGAGGATAAAACATACCCAACACTTGATCTTGACAATCTGCCCACCTGGGATTTTAGTTACAGCACTATCCCACAAGTAAGAAACTGACTTTTAAAATCCTCTTAGCGCTAAATTTAGACCCCCTCTTTAGAGTGATTTTACCTCACCCGTGAAGTAGATAACAGACTAATACGGATTATATGGCTAAATCCGCGAGCAGGCAAGATGAGGCGATCCTGCATTCTGACTGAGTTCTCTTTTTGTAATGTTTAAATTTTGCAGCAGTGTTTTATCGGTTTTAAAATCACTCGCTTTCGGCTCGTAATTTTAGACCCGATAAAACACGTGCTGCGAGTTTATTGAACGTCTTCAAAGACATTCCAGGAAAGGTGTGTCTCAATGGAGTTGACAACAACGATGCTATTGTGAACGTTCGAATTAGCATATGTAAAAAATATTAGGGATGAAATTAGACATGCAAGAAAATCAAGTCTCACATGCGTTTAGAACTTTTCTTCTGCGAACGACACTAACCGAAGAGGACATGGTGTCCTGTTCCAGAGCTTTTAGGAAGCCTAAAAATACCGAGGAAGAGAGGAAGTTAATCGAAAATGCTACCCTAAAGTCTACACGTGCAGTGAAAAAGTAGTCTTTGAAAAAAAGGTTCTGGAATGGCCGAATGGTAGGAAAACAAAAATCCAATACTCGAGCCTTGCCTCTTCACAACTGGCAAGTCTTGAGTGCAACGCTTGGACACTTCTATGGCCAATATTACCGTCGAGTCACTGAGCTTTTGGCTGATTAAATTGGTGAAAGAACAAAGTTTAATTTTGTGCAATAGTAAATTAACTGGGAGTGTAATTTTGAAAGACTATTAAATATTCACCCACCATTTGTTGTGCCATTTGCTGTGCTGCTTATTAGTATTCACGAGTCACTTGCAGTGACTTTATATCTGATAAAACAACGCATACTAGTAAGGGAAGGTTTTGTCGATATAAAGTCACTGCACGTGATGTATTATCGGCCATTTGATAGGTCAATGGGCTTATGAATTATTAATAAGTTTTTGAAGACCATATAATGAATTCTTTATTGACCAAACGTGAGGTCAAGATGGCTGGAGATCGGCCTCGCTCTTTTTGCGTTTTTATTGACCTCTACTTCGTCTCTATGAATAAAAACGCAAAAAAAAACTTGGCCAATATTCAGCCAACTTCACCTCATACTTCGTCAATAACGCATATTTACCCTCTAATTTCATTATTTCCTTTTGTTTGCTCGTAACTATTTGGCGGTAATTGTGACAGACTATTTTACGGGTAAAGAAAACTCACTCTACGAGAACCTGTCTAGCCTAAAATTTGGAACAGGTTCTTCTTTTCTAGAATCTATATAAAACAAGAACGCTCTTACTATGGTAGGCGGAATGGTGCAAAATTCATGCAACGAATCAAAATCACTACCAACATCAACAACCATAATCTGCAGTTCAACATTTTTTTTCAACATCAACAATAAAATCGGTCCAACTTCAACGATTAATACAATAATCAACATTCGAAGTATGCCTAATTCAACAACAGAAAATCAACATCAACAAAAATTCCTCTTTTCTAACGNTCACTGAGCTTTTGGCTGATTAAATTGGTGAAAGAACAAAGTTTAATTTTGTGCAATAGTAAATTAACTGCGAGTGTAATTTTGAAAGACCATTAAATATTCACCCACCATTTGTTGTGTCATTTGCTGTGCTGCTTATTACTATTCACGAGTCACTTGCAGTGACTTTATATCTGATAAAAACAACGCATACTAGTAAGGGAAGGTTTTGTCGATATAAAGTCACTGCACGTGATGTATTATCGGCCATTTGATAGGTCAATGGGCTTATGAATTATTAATAAGTTTTTGAAGACCATAAAATGAATTCTTTATTGACCAAACGTGAGGTCAAGATGGCTGGAGATTGGCCTCGTTCTTTTTGCGTTTTTATTGACCTCTACTTCGTCTCCATCAATAAAAACGCAAAAAAGAACTTGGCCAATATTCAGCCAACTTCACCTCATACTTCGTCAATAACGCATATTTACCCTGTAATTTCGTTATTTCCTTTTGTTTGCTCGTAACTATTTGGCGGTAATTGTGACAGACTGCTTTACGGGTAAAGAAAACTCACTCTACGAGAACCTGTTTAGCCTAAAATTTGGAACAGGTTCTTCTGTTCTAGAATCTATATAAAACAAGAACGCTCTTACTATGGTAGGCGGAATGGTGCAAAATTAATGCAACGAATCAAAATCACTACCAACATCAACAACCATAATCTGCAGTTCAACATTTTTTTTCAACATCAACAATAAAATCGGTCCAACTTCAACGATTAATACAATAATCAACATTCGAAGTATGCCTAATTCAACAACTAGAGAAAATCAACATCAACAAAAATTCCTCTTTTCTTTAACAACGATTTGCCTCACAACCAACATCGTACATCGATTTCAACAACAAAACACATTCAACAATTTGGGGACGAACGACTGGCTATGGTCGAGGGAGGTTGGGACCCACAAATTCTAATCACAGGGCATGCTGGGAAATAGAGGCATTGTTGATGTAGAAAAAAAATTTTGAACTGCAGATTGGTTGTTGATGTTGGTAGTGATTTTGATTCGTTGAATTGTGCACCATTCCGCCTACCATATCTTACAGCGGCGTTCACTCTCGCTTGGTTGGAGATTAGATCGAGAAATGAGGAGGTGATTAATTCTACACGAAACAGGATTTACTCGCGAAACGGTTTTTACTTCCTACTTTAACGAAGTCGATACTGTTTATTTGTTTCTGAATTGATTAAATTCGCGTGTTAGCGACGACCGGAAATACGTCTGCGGTCGCAGGCTATACGCGTGTATAAATACACGAAAATTCAAGGGCCTCGATTCCAGAGAAATTACATCATTGCCAGCGAACAAAAAAGTGATTTACATGGCACGTCATTTCAATCATCGCCGAAAATAAACCGCATGCTCATCACAAGACTCATTTGCATACAATGAAAGTTTACAACACCCGACCATCGCAGTTTTGATGATTAAGATTCTTATTATTTTTCGTCCACGCAGTAGTGTTCACTTGTTCCAAAGTAATCAACGCTTTGAAACGACAGAATTTGTGGACCGACATGTTTCGGAAAAGCTCTAAAGTTAATCTTTCCTCAGCTTGTTTCGCAAAACATGCGTGGCTTCGATCACGCAACGATTCTTATTCCCAGTTTCCACGGTCTCCACTAGGAACGCCTGGCACAATGAACCCCCTTTTGTTTCATAAATACGAAGAAAACGCGTTGCAGAATATGAGTCTCGCTGCTTACGCAAGCGAGACTAATAACGTAAACGCTAAAGGAGGACTTCAAAACTCAGGGCTTCAGTTTTTCTTCTTATAGTCATTTGTAAAAAAATACGTATTACGCATACGTATTGCGCAGATTTTCCGCTAATGGCACTACAATCTCTTCACTAGAATGTACTTTTTCTCTTCAGAAAATAAGAACCTATTTAAGAACGTAAATAGCCAAAATATAAATTTAATGCTCTTTTTTCATATGTGCCCATTGAAATCGCAAAAATAAATCCCCGCGAAATACTGTCTCGTCAAAATCGCGAAACTAAGTACCAATGAGGTATTCCCATAACATCCGCTTAGGAAATTCTTGAGAGAAAACGTCTAAAAGGGATTTAACAGTGCAATAAGTTCTCTCTTAATACCTCCAGGATAAGGCTGGCTTCCTTCAACTGACGTACTTCGGCAAAAGGTACGAAATACGGATCGGGAATAATTGCCACAGTTAAGTTTGACTGCACGTTTAAAGCATCCATGATGAATACAGCTGTTACTTTGGTTACATTTCCTGCAAGATTTGGCACCTTTGGAGAGCGACATGTCATCCATGAACTGCTTTCTGGTTTACAACCCTAAAACATCAATTTAAAAGATATACGACCTATAGAGCGAGTGCTGACTAACAAATAACCGGTTGGTAGCGTGGACGGAAAGGTGAGAGACAGGAGAGATGTTTATCATCACTTTTAGGGCAAACGGCAAACGACGATTGCTAATGGGGCCTTCCTAGGGTGGACTGGTGGGAGGGAGGGGGGTGGGTGGGTAGGTACATCCCTAGTCGAATATCAAACACGGCCGTTTCGTGTTTTGAGAAGTGGGCTGTGTCCCTGTCCGTATTCAACCCATCTTTATGTCTCTTGTCGTCATTTCATCTAGTCTCGTGTCGCTGTTCAAAGGCCATGTCGCTTGTCGAATATTTTACCCTAAACGGGCCTCGCTAATGTGTCCGAGAACTATAATAAAGTAAAGTGCTTTTCTCAATGTGAACTACAGCATTGTCCGGTGCACCCCTTCAATTGTTTTGCTAAAAATGACGGCAGTATAAGGCCCTGTCCACACTAATGCGTTTGTCATCGAAACGCATCGATCGATTCGCGTCCACACTACCGTTTTGATGCGTTTTCGACTGTCCGCACTAAAATGTTCGAAAACGATAGAATTGAACTCTACGCGCATGCTACAAACACACGCCTCTGCGATAGTAAGTAAGTAAACACTTTATTTAGAGAGGGTAACACTAATTAGTAAAATCTAGCTAGTGGTCTATTATCAATGCTGCGTTCTGATTGGTTGAGCTACTACTAGGCTATATGTTATAGCCCACTAGTAGCGAAAAGCGCCGGCTTTGGAGACCAAAACAATAGCAGCTGAATCGCGTTTTGATAGCTAAAGTTGTTTTGTCTCGATATTTTTGACCAACTAGTTGGATTTTACTAAAACAATTATTCCTCTCGCCCTCATGGCCGCTGAGTCATTAGCCCATTCGGCCTTCGGCCTCATGGGCTATTAACTCAGAGCCCATTCGGGCTCGAGGAATAATTGTTAAATAGCTAGAAGCTAATGAACTTGATATTTGATATTTTGATATTTCGGTCCGGCATCGTCTTCATTTTAACGCGTTTTCGACCGTCCACAATAATACGATATGTATGCGTTTTTGTTTCGATCCACTTTTAAGAGCGTTTTCAAATCGGCACGTTTTCGGTGAAAACGGGCAGTGTATTCGCGTGGATGGAAGGCCTAAACGCATTGAAATGTACGCGTTTTCGTACGAAAACGCATTAATGTGGACGAGGGCTAGGAAATAACAATAACAAGACAATGGAAAATAACAATATGGTGATATAAGACGGAAGACCTTACCTGAACTGTGGTATTCGAAAGAGCACCATTTTCTGAGGGATATTTAAATAAAATCTCGGCATTTTGGACAGCATCCAAATTGGTGCCCGTCACGCGCAACTCAAGGCCTCCTCTAAAAAAGCAATTTTTTACAGAAAACATGAGTTGTAAATAGACAGCTTTAGATTCTAAGACGAGAACGACTACAAGTACCAGATTTCTCAATAGTAAGTAGTGCAGGACCGTGAGGCAGCGTAATTTTGACGGGAAAACGTGGCAGTCCTCGTCATTCTACTACGATTTTGTGGCGTGAATATCGTAGTGGCGGGAACAAGTTATCAAATGTTAGAATTTTTAGCATTTTGCGATCGGGAGAGCGTGTAACCTCCTTCAATCACGATAACAGCGCTAACTTTTCTGGTGAAAAAAGTAGAATGAAGAATTCCAGGGTAACTATTTTTTGACGATACTCGAAAAAAACTTTAAATCAAATCTCGTAGTCGTAGTCATCCTCGTCCTGGAATCTAAAGCTCTCTAATATTGAGTCAAAGGAAACGCTAGTAGTATAGAAGGGACCAGTTTCTGCAGTGTTTTGTAGTGGTTTCGCTGTAAATTGCTGTGGCATCGCGAAGGAATGAATAAACGCCGATGGCGTCATGCGTCAATTGCGTAAGTATCTCATTAAGATTGTGTCAAGTTCTATTTATATGTTGTAGCTAATATAACCGGTTTGACGGGATTTGAATCATTTTTAGATCGATGATGACAAGGTTTTTGATTGGTTGACTAANGGATATTTAAATAAAATCTCGGCATTTTGGACAGCATCCAAATTGGTGCCCGTCACGCGCAACTCAAGGCCTCCTCTAAAAAAGCAATTTTTTACAGAAAACATGAGTTGTAAATAGACAGCTTTAGATTCTAAGACGAGAACGACTACGAGTACCAGATTTCTCAATAGTAAGTAGTGCAGGACCGTGAGGCAGCGTAATTTTGACGGGAAAACGCGGCAGTCCTCGTCATTCTACTACGATTTTGTGGCGTGAATATCGTAGTGGCGGGAACAAGTTATCAAATGTTAGAATTTTTAGCATTTTGCGATCGGGAGAGCGTGTAACCTCCTTCAATCACGATAACAGCGCTAACTTTTCTGGTGAAAAAAGTAGAATGAAGAATTCCAGGGTAACTATTTTTTGACGATACTCGAAAAAAACTTTAAATCAAATCTCGTAGTCGTAGTCATCCTCGTCCTGGAATCTAAAGCTCTCTAATATTGAGTCAAAGGAAACGCTAGTAGTATAGAAGGGACCAGTTTCTGCAGTGTTTTGTAGTGGTTTCGCTGTAAATTGCTGTGGCATCGCGAAGGAATGAATAAACGCCGATGGCGTCATGCGTCAATTGCGTAAGTATCTCATTAAGATTGTGTCAAGTTCTATTTATATGTTGTAGCTAATATAACCGGTTTGACGGGATTTGAATCATTTTTAGATCGATGATGACAAGGTTTTTGATTGGTTGACTAAAAATAACAAAAGCATTCACTGGTTGTTTCATCTTGACGAAGGAATAAGCGCCAACTCGCATGTCACATTAGTTCACTGAGCCATAACGTCATTAAATTTTGAAACATTTCCTACCGCAGTTATTAGAGACTCAGAACATGTCCACACGAATCAAGACATTAGGGACCTAATAAGATACACTGTTTCGGTGTACGGGTACGGGTAAACTAGCCGTACACGTAGCCGTAAATACGGGTAGATTGCCTCTTACCCTGGAGAAGCGGCTAAGCTACCGGTTAGAACGGTGACGGTGACATCTGGGAAATAGTGGTCGCCGTTTATAAAACTACGAGGCAAACATGTTCGCTTAGCCGAACCGTAGGCTGAAACGGTGTATCTTAAAGTCACTATTTTTGAAGCGCATGTTTTGTTACCCGGATTCGCGTGTGAACGGGACCTTAAACCGCTCTGGAGAGCGGTTTCGGTGACCGGATTCACTGGTTTCTTGTGGATAGAAGGCGTATCTATGTAAAAGATAAACGGTTTCAAAAATATTCATATTCGTGTGGACGTAGCCTCAGACCCAGTTTCGACGGGTCCGGACAAATGTTTGAACGGACGAATTTTCTTTTTACCTCCGCAAACCGTTTACACGAAACTGTGCAAATTCTGCTACAGATTGCAGTACTGTTTGTCATTCAATAGAGCGATTCTCGTGTGACCCTGAAATGAAAACGCGCGAACAAAACAGAAACAACAAAAGAACGGAAATAGAGCGATTTGATGGTTTATCGAAAGGATACAAACGCGCGCGGGCTTTTGGTTGGTTAAGCGAACGCTCGGGTGAAAAAACTTCTTGCCCGAGAACTTTCTAGAAATCAATCGATTCTTCGCTTTGACGTCATACTGCAACACGATTGCCTAATCGAACAATGCCTTCTCCGTATTAGGGTTTTCTTTGGCGGGAAAACGAAGAGGCCATGTTTTGATCTTTTCATCCACTGGCTGATAAAACAAATAACGAACACTTACCGAAACCATTTTTCAAAGGTCATAGGAAAACCGCTCTAACTTGCAGGGTTCCGCGGGTCCGGTGTAAAGGAAAGGCGGACCTGTGTAAGTTTTGTCCGTTCAAAAATTAGCCAGGAACCGTGTAAACGGGGGTTTTGAAACAATGACTACGGAAGCGTCTAATATGGTGACCAGAAGTAACATTTTTCTTGCCAGGCGTGAAATATACCTCAAGTAGGGAATTAAAGATACCACGACGGCGACAGCAGGAAAAACGCAGCTTGAAAAGTGAATTCCTGTTCGTTATTTTCTGGGTCTTTATCACAAATATTTCAAATCGCTCACTTTTCAAATGTAGTTGAACTCTCTTGAGGTTGAAATCGTGCAGTGAATGTACACAAAAAAGTGGGATGCACGTGCGAAGTTTTAAAGTTTCGCTTGCTTTTTATCAGCCCCCTGGTATAGTCCAGTTTCGACCTAAGGTAAATATATTCACAAATTTGAGTCAGAAGACGACCTACGTACAACTGTGTCTATTGTTTTAAACTCAAAGTCAGGCACCTTCTCGCCGGTATTAAGTGAATATTTTACTTCAGGTCGAGGCTAACCCGGTACAAATGAGTCTCTGGCGCTTTTATACAGCGGCCACGACGAATTCGAAGCTGCAATACTCGTCAAAAATCTTGTAACACTTGTGTCTATTTCCCCTTCCCCAATGTTGATTTGGGTATTACAGTGGTCTCAGTGCCTCAAAATACGCTTGGCTCAACATTGGGGAGGGAGAAGGCACATTTCAGGGGGGGAAACAGTGTGAAGTAGAAATCTCATGATTTTTCCAGAAAATTCGAGAGAAACGGTGTCTGTTTCAACGATTTGTGACGAGTATTGTGGACTGACCACTGAGTTTTCCTTTCTAAGAGCCTCACAATTACTTTACACTGGCGGAGAACGTTTCAATTACTTTAACACTGCTGGGGTACTCGTTCGAACGCCCTTAACATTGCTATCAAGGTTGCTTTAAGTCCCTGAATTATTTTCTGAATTGGCGCTAAACATTTTTTTCAACTCACCCAAAATAAACTTTGTTAGGTTCAATAGCAGTGATTGTAGGATCAGGTACAAATATAAAACTTCCACTGGGTCCAACGGGGGTAAAACCGTCAAAAGTGATAATAACTTCTGTGCTTTCATGTAATGATCTTTTTCTCCTTCTGTTTACAGTAGGTCTGATGATACACGGAACATTTTTTTCTGTCACCCTAGACAAAGAGGCAAAAAGTGTCATTGGCAAAAAAAGAAGAACTAAGCAGTTGCTAAAGTCATACTAAAGCCACATGCGGACTGCTACACAGGGCCTACAAGCGGTAAAAATAAAGTGCTCAGGCCCAACACGGTCAGAATTATTGTTGCCGCTCGCTTATTTTCGCAGCAATGAATTACCCCAGTCAAAAATGGCTGCATAAAATACCGCTCCCCCCCCCCCCCCCAACCCGAGGAGACTACGCTGGTTCAATTTTTAGTTCACTTTTGGGAGAAGAAAAACTGCAGTTGAACATAAACATCAATAAACGTAAACACTAACTTATTTCTGTCCACTACACATTGTCGCCCAGCCACTTGAACGGTGATATATCTTCCAGTGTTCATCCTAAGGCCTGTTATGTTCACTGATATTACTCCCGATTTAATGCCTTTTTGGGGGCTGAAATCCACTGGTTTTGGGTTCTGCAATTAAATGAGAATGCTTTACAAGTTCATAGATTGAGAATAATGGGAATATTTTAAGTTACGATTTCTAAGAGAAAGCACTTAACATATTATGATATAATCTTACTGCAAATAAATAAATTGAAGACCGGTTGTGCGTTAATAGAAGCAAACTCTTCAGGGGTCGGAACACACGCTGAGAGGTCATTTAGGCAAGTCTTTTATTGCGAACAGTCGATAACAAAAGCATAACAAGACGCGTCCAAAAACCCTTCTCTTTTAACCCTACATCGTGTATCAGGAAAGGATTCCTGTTACTGCCCTTACTTTCTCGGCCCAAACTGTCAATTATAAACCGAATTTCCCTCCTCTACTAAAGGCCCGATCCATACTGTGTTTATAGGACCTTGATTATATGGTTTTTTCTTTTCCGTGGAACAAGAAACATGAGCCTGATAAAGGGTTTTAAAGGACTTATTAAACAAAAGCAGAATAAACGTGCCGGTTATTAAAACGTTGTTTAATAAAACCGTGTTCTAGACCTTTTTCAATTTTGCCAACCCTGACATCTAAACATTGTTTGCTGTTAACCACCCTCGGAGACCCTGGGGTGGTCAATTGGGTGGGGAAAAACGGATGCGAAAGTTTTCAAGAACGGGTGAGGGAGCCCCTGGGATGCTATTCCTAACGAACCTGTTCCACGACTCATTCGAATGCTTGTCTGTGATTGTTGTGCCCAACGAAGGCCAGCATCTATCGCGCTGTTTTCGTGATCTTCTCATACGAAGGAGTTTATCCACAAACTCGACTGTTCGCAGGAGAGCTTTCTTCAAGAAGAGTTTTAAGTGAAAATGGTCGCCAAAACACCTAAGAAGTTCCATAATTTGGCATGTTAGCAAAACAAAACAAAAAATGTACCAACCGAATAAATCAGACTGTGGACTGATCAAAGGTAAATTCGCAAACACCAGAGTACTTCTAGGCTTTCTTATGCAGTAACATAACAGTTTTGTTCGATCCTCTTGTGTCACTGAGGAGAAAAATTTAACAACAACCTTACAAACTTAAAGGGCAAAGAAATTTCTCCTGCACGTGACTAACAATTGTGCCGAGCAAGCGTAAACAGCCATGCACATGATTTCGCATGAACAAGCCTAATATATAGATTTAGCCAGGGCTAAAAGCGAAGCTCCAATTAATAAATTTATAATTTAAATCGAACAATAAACTTTTAATCCACAAATCGGTTAACTTAAGGGCACATTCATGTGACTTTTGAGGGAAAGGCTAAGTTATTTTAGAGTGAAACATCTTACATCGAATTGATAACCTTATATGTACACCCAAAAAATAGCAAACATCTTCGATCACATTCAAGATCACAGTAGATTAGGCTTCGAAAACAAATTCTTGGAAAACAAATCACGCCGAATTTTTTTGCGTTCAACAGGTTTACTTTGCAAATTCTTGCCAACAAATCTGGGGGTGTTTAAACCAACCTTTTATAATTTTTATACATCACATTTGAGGTGAAACAGTACTATTTATCATACAGACTTCGGACAGAATACGGTATTTCACAATTTTTCAAGACAAACTGCACTCAGTCAAAATTCAGGACGATCACTCGTGGACTTTAAGCGAAACCGTTCAAAAATTTCCAAAATCACCCATACGGCCAGCTGGTTCTCGTTTCTACAAAGCGAGCTGTCAGTGTGGTCTAGTGTTTGAATGAACTTTAATAGAGTTACGCTTCAACACGATAGCGAATTTATTATTATTATTATTTTGTTATTTAATGGTTTCAGTTATAACGATGTGTAATCTTACAAAGCGTTTGATACGCGCGTCGACATTTTTTAGTACTCCTGCAAGCGATGTTCATGAACGATGAAAACAAACGGAACGGACAAGCGATTAAAATTGCAAGAGAGACTACTAACAATAAAAAAGATATTTTTATATTGAGATATACGGACATTTTACCGATTATGGAATTTCTTTGGTTTTTGGGGGGCCCATTTTCGCTGAAAACTCTTCTCCAAGAAAGCTCTCCTGTACGAGCCAGACAAGTACGGCGAACAGTCGAATTTCCGGGTGAACTTCTCTCGTATAAGAAGATCACGAAAGCAAGAATTCGAACGAGTCGTAGAACAAGTTCGTTAAGAGTAGCATCCCAGGGGTTGTCTCACCTGTTCTTGAAAACTTTTGCAGCCGTTTCTCCTGACCCAACTGACCGTCCCTGGGTCTCCGAGGATGGCAGTTAACAGTATAGAGAAGGCCTACAACCCCGGCTAGAAAACCATTTATCTACTTAAAAAAAGCCACTTAGAAACAAATTTCGGCGGCCACTGATTTTTTAAACCTTGTCCAAAGTTATACGTTTCTTTAAAAGCCGATCCAAAGGGTTTCCAATTTGCAAGACTACGAGTAAACTAAACTTTAATGACTCTCCTTTTCAAAACAAATGCACTTGAAGTGACATAATTGAAGAAAAAGGAAAATTTTTTTGTTTGCATCTAAACTTGCGTCCGTCAAAAGTTTTGGAGCAAAAATTAATCAATCACAAACAAGAAGGACTTAACCACATAATAAGTTGTGTTTCGCCTCACTCGGCATGCCGTTAATAAACTGACCTGGTAATGAAACTGCTTTGCTGACTGTCCCTTGAGGTTATTAACTGTGACAGTAACTGGCCCACTTACAGGACCAGTGCTAGCTGTTGTATTACAGAAGACCCTGCCAAAACACACAAACACAAAAATTGATCACGGATGTCAAGCAATGTGAACATGGTTTTTATTGTAAGCCTACAGCACTTCCTTTTAAAATTCACCATTTTCATACACACCATAGTGCATCTTGTTTACTCCCCAAAAGTTCGTACAACCATTGTCTTCGATTCCCGTCTTGGGTCGACTATAAAACCCAGAAGAAATTGGAAACAATGGTTATGCATATTTTTTTCTTAAGGGGGGGGGAGGGTTTACAACGTCCATTACGGTCTATGTGATAATGGTGAATTGATCAACAGATAATAAACTGAAAACTGTTCGGAGTATACTTTCAAGTCGTGATACAGCCACAAAGAAAGGTACTGGCAACACCTTAAAACCATTACTGACACCCTTTTAAGAAATCTGGGCAATATTCTTTCCCCGGTAGATTTGAATTCATCTTATGTCACGTGATCTCACGGCAGACGTTGCATTTCTTAAACTTACAGCTCTAATAGAGATGTTTTTTTTATGTTACGGTACTGAAAGTAAGGGACATCCACCTACCCCTCCCCTAACCAACATTTTGCCCTAAGTGAGAATTAAGTGTTAACGTTGAGTTAAGGGAGGAGTAGGTGGGCAGTTTCCCTGAAACCTAAATTGATGCAAATAAAATACAATCTCGTCAAGAGCTTGACTAAGTTGAAAGCTGAATGGGAAGAATTATTGATTAAGAGAACTGCTGAAACTGCAGGTACACTTTTATTTAAAAATACCATACCAGCAATAACAACGATATTGATGATGAATTGGAGAGTTTCTTATTATATTGATCTCCCAGAAATCGTTCAAAAAGTGAAGTTGAATTCACTTTCCTCTTATTAACTGGTGATTGTTATTATTAATATTGTTTAGTGTATCAGTAGTCTCTAGTCATAACTGAGTTGTCATCTTTAATATTGCATTAGTGGTCTCTTGTCTTTATGTCAGTTTTAGTTTATTAGCTCTTCAGTCACTTTTAGTTGTATTTATTTCCTGAAAACATGCCCCGCCTAGATTAGCATAGCTACCCGCGGGCATGGTAAAATTGTACTTAAATCTTAAAAAAACAAATAAAATGTATGGATGGATGGATGCATATATGTATGTATGTATGTCTTAGTGTATTTAAGTAAACTTAACCTTAAAAAAGCGATCAGCAACTTCAGCAAGGCAGCAACAAACAAAGTGATTAGTGTTATTTTCCCGCTCTATGTAAGCGTACGTGCGGTAAGCGTGTTTTTCATTTGTTGTTGAGTGAATGCTACACAAACATTACAGACATACACTTTCCGGAGTCTAAACCGAAAACATTAGTGTTTATTTAAGCCCTAGGCATTTCTCTACTTTTTTTTCCCTATATATACTTTTCAAATTAAAGCCTTATATTAAACGCTTGTTTTCTTAGGTATAATATATAAACAAACTGTAAAATAAGAAAATTGAGAAACGTGAATAAATTGTTGTTGTTATTATCGTGTATTCTCTTATTTCCATAGAAAATAAGAGAATACACGAAGTTTTTAAGAAATTACAGAAAATCTATAAGGAATTATCTTTCAAAAAGAGACAGTTAAGGCGTAACTAACTAACAGAGTCAGAGATAGCAGTAGACAGCGTTCATGAACAAAACAAGTTTTGACCATGTTGAACGAAACAGCTTTTAAATATCGCTTTGGTTTGAATGGGGTATTACAGTTCCCTTGCTTAGCAAACCTTTTTGATGGCTGATATTTGTCAGGATTGGTGACACATGAATAACCCGCCACTGTAACAGTATTGTTGATATCAAAGAATGATTTTCCGAGATCATAACCATAAATTTCAACTTCCGTTCCACCACTTATAGGACCAGCCAGAGGCCAAACCTAAAATAAAATGTCACAGAACATTATATTAAATGATGGGTCCAACCCACAACCCCCAAAGGCCAACAATTTCACAAGCAAACTGTGCGACTGTACATCTCCTGTGGACTGGTTATTCACAGTTCGACACAGCGGTAATTGTAACTTGAGTTGAGCTGGTAGACCTAAAGGCTGATTCACTCAGTAAAATTGCATATAAAAACCTCGTGAATTATGATGACACAACCGTCTACCAGAATGATGAATATTGTATTATTTATTATTAGTAAAATCCAACTTGTGATCTATTACCAATGTTGCGTTCTGATTGCTTGAGCTACTACTAGGCTATATGTTATAGCCCACTAGTAACGAAAAGCGCCGGCTTTTTGGCGGCAAAAAAGGATTAAAGTGTAGCTTTAACTAGTTAAAGTTGATTTGTATCGATATTTTGAACCAAATAGTTGGATTTTACTAAAACAATTATTCCTCTCGCCCTCATGGCCTCTGAGTCAACAGCCCATTTGGCTTGGCCTTCGGCCTCATGGGCTATCGACTCAGAGCCCATTTGGGCTCGAGGAATAATTGTTAAATAGTCACCTCGACTTCGTCTCGGTGACTATTCGCCGATATTCCCTTCGCCTTCGGCGACTAATTGTTAAGTATTCGGTACTCGGTGTTCCCTTTCAGTTATATTTTAGGAATTCTGATGAAATGTCCCGAGTGCACCCTTCGAAACAACCATGGTTTAATGGCTTAAGATTCATTCTGCTACAATTTTTGTCGTATGTCTGAGGTGAGACTAAGACAAAGAATTGTGAATCTATCCCGATAAGGATAGACTCAGCAGTGCGCAACTAGGTCGGGTTTTCAACCGCTATTTTGTAACTTTATAATCGTCATAAAACGCAATACCCAAGAATGGGACAATTTCAAACTATAAGCTAGATAAGTCTACATTTATGGTAAAAATAGTAGATCTGCGGAACAGTTACACTTAAGCGTTCAAAATAGCTCGAGCACATTCGACGTGCCTATGTTTGGCCTGCAAGCAAGCTCTATGAGGTGCTCAGGTGCGGGGCGGGAAAAGGAAGGAGAGCTTGCAACAAATTTCGGTGAAAAATTTCCGTCAAATGGTACTGGTATTTTTTGGCACCGAAAACAGGAACGGGATTGAGTTGTACCATTTACAAAATACCGGTAAATTTTTCGCTTTCTCCCGACATGAAGCCTGGCACTGGTAATCCAAACATATGGTGCAGAAAATTTCGGTCGTTTCGGTAAAAAAGGGCAAAAGGTAATACCTTGAAAGGTATTAATTTTTTTTGCGGAAAATTTCTACCGGGATGAATCGTTCCATTTGAATTCTGCCCGTAATTTCCGGGTTTTCCATACAAATGGTAACCGCTCTACGTCTCTGGAATTTGAATATCTGCGTAACGGGGAGCCACGGAGAAATTGGAGGTGGAGTTCAAGCTCTCCTTCCTTTTCCCGCCCGCCGCCAGAGCGCCCCGGAGAGCTTCCTCGCAGGATAGCCCACGTTCTGACAGTCTAACAAAGGTTAAAGTACATCCTTTCTTTCTTTTTACAAGTAACAAGTGCTTTTTTTTTCTTGAAATGACTAATAATTTTATTTTTCGCATTCATAGTCAAATACCTGCGTAATGCGCAATAATAGAAATGTGATGGTGAATTTATATATCGATATTCCAGTCCTTGCATGCAGTATGGAGGATGTTTCTCACATGAACCTCTCGTTTAATGGTCATAGCTCCAACGAGATTCCTGTGGCTCAGTGGTAGAGCATCTGGTTGACCAGTAACCAGGAGGTCATAGGTTTGACTCCTATTAGGAGAACTCGGATTTTTTCTTCCGAGCTGCCTGTGTCACTGACTGAATAGGGACTTTAAGATCCAACGACGCGACCGCAACGAGAACGTCAAAAAATACATTAGGTTTAATAAGCAAAACAACTTTGCATGTGCATCACACTTTTTTGTACATTTCTTTGCCGTTTTTGCACGACCACGACGTGAAAATGCCTAATTTCGCGTTTTATGGAGAACGTAAACAAGCAACGACGAAATTTTATTTCTCTTTCTCAACTTGGATATGGTCCCTTAGAATTCAACTTCAGGACGGTTCGCCTACATTTGACAAAGTAAGTGGGTAGGCATAATCGCGATAAAGACTGAAAGAACGCAAATTCACTCTTTAGGCGAAGTTCTCGTTGCCGTCGCGTCGTTGGATCTTAAAGTCCCTAATAAACATCTTTTTTATACCTTGGTAATGATGGGCTTAGTGCGACAAGGTAATGAATAAGGAATCCAAAAGCCTCCTACTTCGTTACAAGCCTCCTGGACCACACACTTGTTTGTGTCTGCTTTGCACCAGCCGCACTTTAGATAAGGTTCAGCAGTCGAGTCATAGTGGCAGATACTACAGTCTGTTCGAGACACCCAGCACTTGTACAGATACGCTACATTCAAAATCCATCAAGATGTCAACCACCTCAAGATAAAATACTGGTCAATATTTTTAGGGAATGCCAAGCGCATCGCCTCTGCGTGTATCTCACCCCTTTTGGGACCGCATAAATTGGATTAGAGAAGGGTTATCCAATGATGGTAAAGCTTTTTTAATCCCTTGGGAGTTGAGGTAACTAGTTTCTATAAAGCTAAAAGAGAGATATGGGGAACTATAAAAACAGGTTGTTGTTACTCAACCAGCGGGACTCCTTGTGGTACTTCCAGCATGTACACGACCACATAGGAGAGACTTGATACAGCTGCTAAATCAGGTTATATGTATGGTCAGCTAAGTGCTGGTGTTGTTGTCTTTGTGCTGTTTAATGCAAGCTAAATGCCTGACACGCATTTTTCTTTTTGTAGGAAGATCACCATGACCTTTTTTTATCATATTATATCGTTAATCAATTCCATTAACGAGTATAACAAACGTTTTTTTTCTCGACAACCACGACTATGTTGTTTTCGAATTCCCCATTCAAGTCATATTATAAACAGTTTTTGAAAGGGCTACAATATTATCTCGATAGTTATTTTAAACGCGAATGTGATTTAAACGCACTGTCTAGCAGCGAAAATCCATGAGCTGCTTTCGGGGAATAAAAAAATACAAAAAAAGGTAATTTCATTTTTTGATTTACGTTGACGAGAGGCAAGTAGCATATTTGAGTACGTGTTCAAGGTATCATGTTATTCTCGTGGCGCCCAAATGTATTTATAAGGAAATGTGTTTCTGATTGGTTGAAGCAAATTTTCCTCGTGGTACGACCAATCAGAAGCACTACACAGATCTTGGTACTGACACGTCATCAGTACGGAATTTTTGCAGTCGTTTCTTAGACGTCATTCCGCGGAGAAACCAGTGGTGGCGTCGGGAGATGTCAGCTGTTTTCTCAGGTTAACAACAAAAGCCACTACAGGTCTTTACTTTTGGCATTCTTTCTTTACTCAACTTCGCATGCATACCAGCGATAAAGACTGGGATAACCCGGGGGATTCTCAAAAGTTCTGTACGGGGAGGCTCCGCCCAGAGGTCCAACCCCTTACCCTTTTATATACCATTTTTGTCAGAAAAGGTTCCCTTTCGCATTCCTTCTATTAACAAATGGCACCCCTTTCACACACCTAGTTTTAAACTGTGCATCTCTTTTAACTGCTGAAACGTAATGTCTGTTAAATATGACCAAATCATAAATCAAGAAAGTTTTCTCGTCTTTTCGACAGCCATAAAATGCATCTGTTAGCACTCTTGGGCCTTTTTACCGACAGAAATGACAGTTTTCACTACCCTTTCACATACTTCACAACAAGTGAAATCCCTACCCCTCTCGGGCGGAGCTTCCCCGTATATACCATCACAGAGATTACCCTCCCCCGGAGATGACCTTTATTGCCGGCAATACTGTTCCCATATGTCTGAGTATCAGCTTCGGTATGTGCTTCCACACTACTCTGCTAACAAATTATAGCATATCATAACAAACCTTCAAAGGTACTGGGTACAAACAGCTGATACGAGTTCTTGAATGTAATGGTGAGCTTCACAGCTTGTCTCGTCAGGTTTGCATAGTACGAATACTAAATAACAAAGAAGACCCAAATGACAAGTTGACACATTAAACCTCAGTTGTACAGTCGATTCCCTCTTAACGGACACCACAGGTAACCCAGGTTCTGTGAAACTACAGCAGTGTGAAACTAGTAGAATCACAGTGTTTGTATGAGGTAAAAATACGATCCTAACATTTGTAGGAAATGCCGAATAAAAATCAATGAAACTTAATCTGCAGTTAGTTGTTGTTGTCTTCAACGCTCACACAAAGTTTCATGATAATTTGCAGCAAATACTAAATAAAAGTCAATAAAAACTTACTCTGCAGTTAGTTGTTTTTGTCCTTAATGCTCACACGAAATTTTGTGATAAATTTGCCTGTGTCTAACCTGATACACTGGGGCATTAATTTGCCTGTGTCTAACAAATACACTGGGGCATAAATTTGCCATAGTGTCTAACAAAATACACTGGGGCATTAATTTGCCTGCGTCTAACCTGATACACTGGGAAATTAATTTACTTGTGTCTAACAAATACTCTGGGGCACTAGTTTGGCTGTGGCGAACAAATACACCTGTGTCTATTAAACCAATAAACTTGAAAATTATTTACTTCTCTCTAACAAATACATTTAATACAATGGTTACTAAGATAAATTTCAAAAGAAAAATCAACGATAAAAAAGTAGCACGACGTTTCGATGACTCCATGTCATCATTATCAAATGCAAAGAAAAATTAGCATGAATTAGTCACCAATTCATGTTAATTTTTCTTCACCAGGTGATATCTATACAGAAAAAGAAAGTGTCAGGAATATGTAAAATTAAATTGAGGCGTGAAAATAGAACAAACTAACAATTAAATAAAAAGTTTCGCCCGGATGGAATCCGCTTGACTGTTTAATGTAGGTCTTTTGTTTCTGATGATAAGCGTTTCGAAGATCAAACTCTCAAGCTTCCCTCGGCATTTCTTGAGGACCTTAAAGTTTGTGTTAAGATTCATCCGTTTTAAGTTGTGTTTTTCCAAGAAATGCTTGTCAATAACGGAATGTTTGTGTTCCTCCACACGCTGATGGAGGTGACGGTACGTAGAACCGATATAATTTGCATCGCACAAATCACATTTGAATAGGCCATTTTACAGTTATGGATGGAAGCGAGGCTCAGGGTGACCTTGTTTTGATACAAACCTTCCTGCTTTATCATGTAAATCAAGTTATTCTTATGCTTACTAGTATTTTTCAAGAACAATTTCCATAACAAAGCAAAGAAGGTTTGTATCAAAACAAGGTCACCCTCACTCTCGCTTCCATCCATAACTGTAAAATGGCCTATTCATAAACAACATTCTGCTGGTTCACTAGCGTAGGCATTAATTCCGTTTCTCGTAGATCAATCGATGATGTTTTTGCTTGTAAAGATTGGCTGCAAAGGGTGATTGATCTTCCTTCCGAGGTCGCACAACTATCTCCGAAGTTGGTCGGCAGATTTCTGATGCTTCTAGGGCAAGGTAATCCGAAGGGGGCTGTCAGTGGGCGTGTGGTTCAGGTTCAACCACAAATGTATGTCAAAATCGATCGTTACTAAGATAAAGGCGTTTTAAAACTGAAAATTACGGTAATATAGGCAGCGCTGTGCCATTGTTTTAATGAGTTACATTCGGCGTTCAGAAAAACTCGTATTTATTAATGAGAGAAATTTGCGTAAAAACTTGTAGCACCTTCGAAAGGATTGCCATGTTTTTAGTTTGGTTCTTGTTTCATCTCTTACGTATACTGTGATTTAGGTAAAAAATTTCACCTAAGCAGCGGGGATCCACATTCCTGAACCGGTCTAAGCTTCTCATGTTACCGCCCACCCTTCAGCAACCTGCGACAGATCTCACCTTCAAATAATCTGTCACATTGCAATGCGGTAAATCGTTTCAACAAAGGAAGGGGATAGAATCAAATAATGCCAATCGAAAAGGGAAGACATGTTTAATATTTACAACTGCCTTGTCCCCAGTCGCTCGCGATCACTTTTGGGGAACATTTGGGTTAATTATTTAGGAAAAAGGTAGCGGAAGGAGTGATGGGAGGGGAGAAAAATCGAAGCGACTGGCAAATCCTGAATCCAAGATGGCGGATTTCCCCTTCCTTTTTTTGCTTCTCATCACTCCCCGCTCTCGCTCTGCGCTCGTTCTAATCATGCTCCTCTCGCGCTTCTCGCTTGTCTCCAGCTGTCAAGCTTCTCACTCGTGCCGTGCTCTACACTAAGCCTTGGGAAAGCCTATGGAGGTGGCTGTATTAAGAATACCTTTCTGGGAGAACACATTAACTGTGTGTCGCTGACTCGAAGGGCATCTGCTGATTGCATCTTTCCATCAACTGTTACATCGCACTTGTATGAAGCACCAGACTGAAAGAATTAATAGATGAGGTTACTGAGGTTATACATCATTCAGTTACATTGCCGGTAAAGCACAATAACGTTTTCTCGATGCAATGATTTAACACACTCATATTATTATAATTACTTATCCCAATATTCATGAGGATATTCCAATTACTGTGAAAAACGGAAAACCGTGAATAGCAGAGACTGGGTCGAGCGACGAGGGAGGTCAGACATGTTAAAGTGAGCTCCGTGTGGCGAGAGGTTTTTTTTTCTTTTCAGTATCATTCGAATGAAACTTAGCAACTATGGGGAGAAGTACAAGAAGAAATGACCTAAGCAGTTCTTCAAGTAGCGAGAATTCACCGAAATATGGAGCAAAACGTAACCTCGCGGATGCTGACGTGGCCGCATTGGCGTGCACAGCAGACAAGCAAGACGACACTAATCCTTCCCTGCTCGAGGTGTGGAACGCTTTGAAGAGAATAGAGAACAACACTAACAGTCTAATTAAGGATATAAAAGATCTTAAAAATAATTACAATGAACTGAAAAAATCACTCGAATTCTCTCAGGTCAAGATAGACGAACTAACAAAGAGCAACTCCGACCTGCAAATCAAATGAAGGTAAAAACCCTGGAGAAGAAGAAAGCGGACATGAAGAAAGAAATAGAAGGTGCCGTCAAATCTTCAAAGCTAACGGAAGACTCAAGCTCAAAACTAAAAGAAGAAATGGCTACCAATCTGCAAAAAAGGATGAGCAAATTATGCTTCTCGAAACGAAACTTGATGATCTTGCATGAGCAGTAAACAAAAAAGTTTAATCTTGAAATTTGTGGAATCCTGAGGACGAAGACGAGAACTTGGAGGACACCGTCAATCATTAAATTATCAGAATGCCTAAAT